AGAAAATGTCAAGGATGGCACAAACATGATGAATGGCCACGAGGACACCTGCATCTAGGGCGTGAGGATGAGACCAAGGTTGAAATGGAAAATGGTTCAAACTAGAAGGAAACTACGATTAGAAAGTAAACCAAAATGAGAACATTCATTGTAGCAAAACTAATGGGGCAAGATCAATCAGAGGCGGAGTTGTCAACTTTTGGTTAAAAAAAAAAGGACTAAGAACAAGGTATAAGCATGGCTGCCTGGACAGACAAAAACTCTGATGCAGCGGCTGTCATCTCGGCTTTGTTGCCGTTCAATAAAGTCGTATTTTGGCATCTGGAACTCTGTTTCTTGAGTTTTATTTTACGACAGAAGACCATTATTTGCTCCACAACACATCAACACCATTTCCTGCCTTGTTATTAGTCATATAATTATTTAAGGTTTATTTAGTGTAGTTCTGGTATGAAATCCAAAATAATCTCACTTACACCAATACAGAGTCTCAACACAAAGTCTTTTCTGTTGTAAAAACTGTCATAACACTACTGAAATGTCATCTCATTACCATTATAGAAAAACATGCAGACAACATACGTGGAGGTATTACTCTACAATGCAGTGATAGGCTCAAATTGGCAAACTTATTTATTTGCATTCAATGTAGCAAAGTGAATTAGTTACATAGACAAAGGATTAAATTATCATGTCAGTGCTTTACATGGGGCTATTGGGAGACCTACAGTACATCAGTCATTGAAATGGGAATTAAATCCCTAGATCTGTCAATCTCATTTGAAAACTTAACATGATGACTTCAACAACTGAACGATTCGCAAACTTGTTTGCAAAGCTTTGTTGGAAGATAACCTAAATGCACTCCTCCAAACAAGAATTCCCTTGCACTGGTCAACATGGGCATTGCTTGCTACAGATTGACTCCTCTCGCTGACAGACAATCAGTAATGCAATAATATATCAAACCTGCTAATAAAGGGAATGTGTAAAAGAATGAAATGAACATTTTAACATTATAAAACCATAAAAATTCTAAACATTAAAATATTCAGACATAGATAAAACCGTATTTTGCAAACCAAATGGCAGGTGAAAAACATTTAAAAAGGAAAAATAAAAGCTTTTTTAACCCTCAAATCGGTTCACTTTCTGAGTGAAGAAAATGTGTCCTTCATATTTACAAGCTTACAAAAGTAAATAAAACCCGAGTAGGTCACCCCAGACATACTCAGGAAGTAACTCATCAGCGATAACATTACGTAGTCTTCCTGAATCCTTTCAGGATGGGGTATATATTCTCAAATGCTTCATAGATCTCTGCTCTAACCTTTGCACCTGGAAATAAAAGGAATTTTCATTATGCAACTTCAGTGTAGTATTATACTAGCATTACATGGTACTATTTGTACCATTTTAAATACAATAACCTCACCTGTAAGTACAACTTTGCCTGAAACAAATATTAAAAGGACGATTCTAGGTTTGATCATTCTGTAGATTAATCCCGGAAATAACTCTGGTTCATAGCTGGGGAAAAAGCATCAGCAGCATATTAGTGTTGCAGTTTTTTCCATCTCAGTCAGAATGTTGCTCACACTTGAATAGATCAGAGGATTGCAAATACATTAGTATATCAGTAAAATAAACCCTTAAATCAATATACAACCTAGGTGGTAAAAACAGTAATAGTGTAGAAAATGTACATTTATTCAGAACAAGACACAAAAGTATTCATTTAGTTTGAGATGTGATATTAAAATAATAATATTAATAAATAATAAAAACAAACCTGCTAAACTGCTGGTGTGTAAGAACCAGGCCCTCTAATCGGATGGGAAACTTGACGTCGCAGCTGCCCACCATGTTCTGAATTTTGAAGTCTAAGAATTTAGCAGGAAAACCCAACTTCTGCACCACTCTGGCATATTTTCTGGCTGCCAATCGGGACTGTTCCTCACTGCAGAAGTGACACAAAAAAGGCAAACTCGCACACTGCTGTTTGTTCTACAAGTTTGTGTGAGGGGAAGAAAATGCCAGCAGGTGGCATTTCGTACCTTTTCGCTCCCGTGCACACCATCTTCCCGGAGCTGAAGATGAGAGCTGTTGTTCTGGGTTCTCGTATTCTCATGATGACGGCAGCAAAACGCTGAAAGTGTTATTGATATTTACTTGTGTTAAATCGAAATGGATGTTTTTGCCAAAAAAGACATTGCATAAAATGTTATTGTTCAGAAAATATCATCTACTCGTGATCCCCTAGAACTGTAATCTTTGCAATAGGCCACAAATTAAAAAAAATATCACAAAAAAATGGAAATAAAAAAAACGGTAAATGCTTTTTTTAACCAATTAAAACTAGTCTTACCTTTGGATTATATTCAGCATTTCTGGCTCGAAGTGCTATCGTCTTTAAGTCAAGTTTGCACCCCAAGTTTACAGTGGACACTATATTCCTTAAATAAAATTGAAAATATCACTTTTTTTGTACATAATACATACAAATTGTAGACTGTTGATAAAGCATAAAGGGCACTCATGTTATCATCATCTGAGAAATATTTAACAGCTCAAAAAAATATTTTTTTTTCTCATCTGAGAGCCAATCAACAATGTTTTTGCCAGGATTGTGTGGTGATGACAGCTAAAGAACTCACTGTAATTGGGGGACAATGCCAGAGCTCTCTGAGGCCGGTGTGGCAGGAGTGATGGGGGTCATAGGGGTGAGAGGTGTTGTATAAACTGGCGTGTTGCCTGGAAGTGCCGTTGTGGTGGAGACCTGCGAGTGGTAGAGCTGTGGCGTCTGGCCTGAAGCTCCCACCATCCCACCCTGCTGTTGTGAGGCTGCCTGTTGTTGCTGCTGCTGCTGCTGTTGCTGTTGCTGTCGCTGCTGCTCCTCCAGAAGGGACAAGCTGTTGGTATTCTGCACTGGCTGTGGTGTAAGACCCGTGCCGTACGGCATCATGGGACTGAAAAGGGGCAGGCCAGGTGTCATGGCTCCCTTTGAATAGATGCAAGGACATAACATTATGTACTGATGCACTGAAAAAGTTGATTAAAATATCTGCATTATGTAAAAGCTGGAATATACTACATGTCTTCTGCTCAGAATTACAGTGTGGAGGAGGAGATCTAAGTTGGCACTTTTTTTCCTTTTTGGCTTTAGATTGATTCAAGTCGGAGGATATCAATCATGTTTGATATTTTGAGCCAATTTTAGAACACATTGATGACATGTTAAAAAATGTGATTAAATAAAAGTTAATTTATTATAAATGTAACAGTTCAATACTATGTTTATAAAAGAAACTATACAGTCCCTCGCACATTAATATTTGGGGTTCCGTGGCATCTACATTTTGAAAACCCCTGGTTTAGTGTATGATGCCTAATGTTTTAAAATCTGTACAAATTTGAAAAGCAGTGTAGAGTGTTCCAGTGTCTTTAAGCTTAATCGACACTGCATTACTCACCGGTGGAGATGCCAGCCCTTGAGGGAAAGGAGGGAGGCTGTTGTTCTGCTCCATATTGACAGGTTATGAAGCAAAACAACCAAAACAAAGTAGTGATTTCAGGACAAGCTTGACTCCAATAGCCCCAAAAGACCTGTGGTAAAAAAGAACACACAAAAAAAACATTCAATGAAACATACTTTCACACAACAGCGTTGCAATATGTCTACTGAGAAATTGCGTGCATTGTACTGTAAACATAGATAGATATATGCATATCTAAGGGGAAAAATAATTGAAAGGTTCGGTTGTAAAATGAAGACTACGAAGTTAGCAAGCAAAGTAAAGTTAAAATTAATCTACAGAACATATAAAACGTTATACTGTTCAAAACTGTACACACCAAAAGTAGGATAGAAAGATATGCTGATGCTATTTGCAGTGTGGCTCTGCGGCAACTCAAATCAATGTAATATCGCATCACCAACGCCGCTTAACATAACATAATTGACACTTAACAGAAAGCGACGCCAGAGCTGACAACTAATCACGCAGCAATGATCAGAACAGGAGTGATGGCTACCGAGGCTAGCTTGTGGCGCTAATCTGTTCTTTACAAACTCAAACAGCGCTCTCTGCCGAAATAGTGTAATGGAGTGAAGTGAAAAACGTCCAAACAAACCGTTAATTTGCAGGATCCCTCAGGCTGGCAATGAGTTCGCGCAGATAGCTCCAGAAGCGCGCAAAACATTAGACTTTAAAACAACTTCCGCTGACTTTAATAATGCGCTTCCGGTGCATTATGGGGTTTATATTCATGAACATTTAAAGGGGTCATATGATGCGATTTCAATTTTTCCTTTCTCTTTGGAGTGTTACAAGCTCTTGGTGCATAAAGAAGATCTGTAAAGTTGCAAAGACTAAAGTCTCAAATCCAAAGAGATATTCTTTATAAAAGTTAAGAGTCAGCCACACCTACCTAAACCGTCTCATTCTAACACCCCCCCACATGTCTACGTCACTATGTGGGAAGATTTGCATAACGCCGCCCAAATGTTCACACAAAGAAAGAAGGCGTAACTTTTATTCTTGCTGTAGTATTGTTGCCGCCGCCATGTCGTGAAGGGGCTGTTTGATTCGATGTGAAAGCGATTCTACTTTGTTTGGCCTTCCAAAAGAGGACGATATCTGCTTCGTCTTGCCTGGAGCTGATCCGTGCTGGTTGCTGAGGAAATACTACAACTTCACGCTGTGGATCACCGGATCGGCTTTCACCGTGGAAGAAGCAGAGTGCAGCCCGGAGTCGTCACATGTGGTTGCCACAAGCCCGCCGGCCGCTCCTTTGTCGAAGCCGCCGGCAAAACAATAATGTACAGTATGTGGAAAATATATATATTTTTTTACCTTAAACCGCATAAACACATTTCATTACACCAAATACACAAAATAATGTTCTTTTTAGCAGCATCATATGACCCCATTAAACATTAAAAAAAATTTGAAATTGAAAAAAATATATATATATATATACATTTTTTAATTTCTAAATACTGCTTACCGGGTATTCACACACACCACACACAATTGTTTCCTCTATTACTTCAATCCCTAGAAAGAATAGATACATGCTAATTGATTTTAATACAATTTTTCTGTGTGTTTTTATAAATTCCAAAAGGAAATCCTTGAAAAAATAAACCTGTTAGAGGTGGGCATGATACAATAGGTAAGAGATTCTTATAATTTGAAAGCTTTCTCGATGAGTGAATCAGTGGGTCCGATGACTCAAAAAACTTGTAAATAATTTGGCAAAGTATGGCTTAATGTAATCAAATTAAATTTTTATATTTAGCACACAATCAATATTGTTTTAATGTTCTGATTATGAATAAACATTGCATATCCATTGTATATAATTTATTATATATTGGGTTTATAACATGCAGTTTAGATGGCTTTATATTAGTTAAGCAGTGTATTTCACACATACTGCAGCTTAATTTTGTTTACGTTCTCATAGGTCTTATAGCTCTTGATCTAAGTGGTAACATAACAGTAGGTAAGGTTGAAAATGTTTACATTGTCCATTGTTGTTTTCTCTGAAGTCATCTTAATTTCTACAATAATATTGAACACAGATGTACTAATTTAGTCATGAGTATAATTATACTGGTTTGACATTTGGCAAGTATTTATGTACAAATTCTGTTATTTAACGACAAACATTTGTATATGCCTAAATGTACACATATTGTGCAGGAGTTTCCACATCAGGAGCACCCTTCAAATCTCCAGGGCGGGTGGGAGATTCTCCACTTCCAGGCTGTGGTCTATATGCTGACCATACAGTAAGTTGTGGAACTTTAAAGGTCATTTGATTATGCAGGGCTTTTTGTATCATTCAACTCATAGCCTATTTCTTTACTATCAAATTATATTAATTTGTATGACAAGGATTAAAAGTATGACAATTTACAACCATGTTCTCTGTATTTTCAGGTGGGAGCCGGCCGCAACAGGTATTTTTTTTAAATTGCATCTGAGCTTGTTCTTGTAATAAGGCATTTGGAGACTTAATAAGACTATTGAACATGCAGTATATAGATCATTTGGAGACTTTACACTTGGAGGAGAATATACCTATATATATTCCTTCTGTCCACAGCTACAGGTGATGGAGACAAAATCATGTGTTATTGCCCAAGCTTTCATGTTGTGCAGCTGATGAGACAAGTATTTAATTCTGCTTTGGTATAAATTAAAATATCACCTTGGATAAATATTCAGTTGTGTATTATTTAATTCAATAATAATACATAGGATTATGTCCAAATGTATCAAAATGTGAAGGTGTAATTTGCATTAGTCAAAAACATTTTGCACACAGTAGAAAATTTCTGGGTATCCTAACAGTTGTGTTTTTGACAATAGAGGTTGTGTAAAGTGAAGGCGGTCAATGAAAATCTCATTAAACCATTAGAAAAATATTTGTGCTGTAGTAAATTAGATCTGGCTCACATTTCTCTCATCTTTTGTCTGCTAGCAAGGGTTCATCTCACAATGAAGCCTGTCACGCTGTGCTTGCCGGCATTCAGAGGAGAACAAGCGGTGATAAATGCTTTGAAATTGGGCTTATTTCTTTGAATATGAAGGTAAACACCTTTTATATGGTCCACTGTATTTCCTGACCTTAATATAATAAATATTGCTTATATGCAGTTTGAACTTACACATTTGTAGGGGTTCTTTATCGTTTCTCTTGATAAAATGTAATTTTTAGCAGCTTATACCATTAATTGCAGCTGATCCATGTTTCTAAAATGGTCTTCTTACAACAGGGAGAGGTTGGAGCTGCATCCTCAGTGGAATTTCCATACACGCTCTGGAACCAAGGGTTGAGTTCGGTGGAAAAGCTAGTCATTAAGTGTTAGTGAGGCCAGCAGGGGGTGCTCACCCTGTGGTCTGTGTGGGTCCTAACGCCCCAGTATAGTGAGGGGGACACTATACTGTCAAAAAGCACCGTCCTTCGGATGAGACATTAAACTGAGGTCCTGTCTCTCTGTGGTCATTAAAAATCCCATGGCACTTTTCGTAGAGTAGGAGTGTAACCCCGCTGTCCTGGCCAAATTCCCTCCACTGGCCCTTGTCAATCATGGCCTCCTAATAATCCCCATCCACTTGATTGGCTCTATCTCTCTCTCCTATCCACCTGTAGCTGGTGTGTGGTGAGCGCACTGGCGCCGTTGTCCTGTGGCTGCCATTGCATCATCCAGGTGGATGCTGCACACTGGTGGTGGTTGAGAGACCCCCCACATGATTGTAAAGCGCTTTGGGTGTACAGCAATACATAATAAAGAGCTATATAAATGCCTCATTCATTCATTCATTAATTCATTCATTCAATCATTAACCAACATAAATCCAAAAACGTATAATTTCTCCTCATTACGTGTGGTTTGTCATAAAACGTCATTGTGTCATTTGTGTTTAACTTTTCAATTATTTGTATGAAAAAAACACTTTGTTCATTATTCTTAATAATCAATAAAAATCTGTCTGGTGGTTCACTGTCTTGTTTTTGACACGTATTGATCAGAGACTCACACTCACGTTATAGCCAATGCCACGTTTCACAAATGACGTAATATTTTACCCCTCTTGACAGGGGGCAGGATTGCGGCAGTCCTCAGCGTGAACGATTCAAGTCACTATGAACTCATCGTAAACGTTTAATAAATAGATGTGGGTGTTGTAGTTCTTTATACAGACGTTTTCCATTCGCCCAAATCAGATGATATCTGAATTGAACTACAACTTCCGCATAGGTTATGATGACGACATTGCCTACGCAATCTGTTTAAGGAGTTTCTATTTCCTGGTTGAAGAGTCAGCCATTTTGGGTTTCAACCGACTAGCCTTTGCAGTAGTAGCTAGCCAGCTAGTTACTTTTTAATCGGGAGAAAGGTTATTGTTTCTAGTCTATCTTCACGCCGCTGAGTTGTACTGTTAGAAGACAAGCGGTTTTCACAGTGTCCAGTCCACGATGAATCCCGAATAGTAAGTGGTTGAGTTATTACACTGTTGTTTGTCGTTACTGAGCTCATCATTTACCTGTAGCTACTTTTGACAGGCAGCAGCAGCAATGATGACTAGCTGTGTTTTAATCTTACCAGCAACTAATATCAATGTATTTGATCTGTTTCACTTCGTCAAAGCCGGAAAGCACGGTGATTTTCAAGACCGGCATTTTTAACACATAGTTTTCTTTAAAGAAGTATTGTTGTTTTTTGTCATTAAACGGCTGTTGTTGTATAGCGGAGCTCAGAGGGGTAAAATATCCTTCCGCGTTACATTTATGACAAGTAGAACTCCTTAGTTAGTCATACATACCACACCTTTAACACTTCGTACATTGTAATATTTTAATCCCAAGCCATTAAAACGCATGTCATCTGTTAGGTTTCATCAGTAATTAATATGAAAGCTAGCTGATGTAAGCTAACGTCTTCAGATCGTTTTTCATTTACGTTTTAAACAGCTCGACCAGCTGGTGAAATAGATAAATAGGTCTCTCAAAAGAAAGTCGGCTCTGAATCGCCTTAACGAGTCGTCATATTTTCGAATCTTTTGCCTGTTATCTATAATACGTCACAAGGTAACACATTTGCATAATCCCCGCCTGCCCGCGAAATACGAACACTCTGACCTGCCCACAAACACTTCCGCTAGTTAGTGTGTTTACATCATGACGAGAAGACCTGTTTTTAGCCTCACTGGGTATTCTAACACAGTTCCCACACGTGCACCTCAAATAAGTAAATAATAATAATGAATGCAATAATACTGTCACATCACGTAAAGTACCACATACAAAGTTTAAACTTACCACTGAGAAACGTCCTGATGAAGTAGTGCGTGCGATGGCGTTTCCGGTTGAGCGACTGCATCTGTATCATCCTCGGACTCGGGCTCGAATTGATAAGGTAATATCGATGCCATTTTTGTAAACTTATAGCATCTTTGTTTACAAGTAACCCTCCAGAGCAAAAAAATAATCATGGCAGTAGGCGTTTCGTTTGTGACACGCATTGTATACGGAAAGACCAATCACTACAGACTTGGCCAGCTGACCAATCAGAGCAGAGTAGGCTTATGGAAGGGAGGAGATTACAGACCTTAAGCTCAGAACTGCTTCAAACGAATCGTTTCGAAATCATTGAAAAATGATTCTAATATTAAATGTATATTCTGAGAAAATTACAAAGTTTTCTGACCTTAGATGCATTTAAACCTGTTGTAGGGGACTTCAACACAGTTGCTCTTTAAACAAACATTTTATTTTCTGCATGCAAAATTGGACCAGTGACTGATTTACCCCATGTTTAACTGAGTTACATCAGACAATGCTCTTACAGTGCTGGAAAGCAAGGGTTTGGCCTATTTCACATGTTGCAGGGGGATTTTAATGACCTCATTCCTAAGGTCTAGAAAATAAACAATGTGTAATATACAGTAAATGAAAGCAACAGTTG